TGCTCCCCTTCTTCAGCTTCTTCAAGTTTGCTCAGATAACACCTCTAGATGAGGCCTCCCCAAAGCAGCCTGTTTACAATGGCAGCATTCTCCCAACCCCTTAATTCTGCTCTGTTTCCCCCAAGCACTTACCACTTTCTAACATATTATATAATTTATTGTTTATGTTGATTGCCTATCCCCCTCCACTGGCAGCAGTGAGAGCAGGGGTGTTTGTTTATTTCATCCATGTATTGCATTGGCTAAACAGTGTGCCTGGACAGAGCAGACATTTAGTGAGTGTTAAGTGAGTAAATGAATATTAAATTAAAAAAAAAAAAAGAAGGTGGAGAACACTGTTTGAATCATATTTACTTGTATAAGTTTAGCTGAGCTCTGGAAAGCTACCAGTTGTTGTTACAAGTGAAGACAACCAGTTGGCTGGGGGTTGAGAAAGGAGGGAGACATTTTACTTTCATACTTTCTAGATTTTCCTCTATGTGCATATATTGTCTATGCAATAAATAACTCAAATGAAAATAAACAATTTGGGACACAGAGAATAAATAAGATCCCCCATCTCTGGCCCTGCAAAGTCAGCCTTGATTATTTTGGTGTGCTTCCCTCCTTCAAGTCTTTCCCCCAGACACCTCCTCTCTGCAATCAGGGCATAAGAACTCTTGCTGTAGCATTGGCATTTAATTGGAGTCCAGCCCCCTGCAGTGGCCTACCATTTATTGACCTTAATCTGCATAGTTCTGAATCTAATGATGCCTGAATATCATATGGCTGGCTTCTGGAGCTCATTTTATAATTAATTTCTGTAATTAATGGCTGTTTATAAGCTGACCTGAGTCACTGAGCTCCTGTAAGCTAATTTCTGTTTGAAGAGTGAGGCATGTGGGCTAGATGGCCTCCAGAGGCACTTGTAAGACTGTGTAATCACAAAATGAGAGAGTAGTTAGCTTTGGAGAGGAGGATGGGGTATGTGATAGGGAAAGAGGATGCAGGCATTGATAATGTCTGGTGGTGAATTCATAGATCGTTGTTACATTTTTATGCTTCATAAATTAACATATATATAACATAATGTTATGTGTATCTTTAAAAACATAACAAAAAAGAGATTGAAAAATAATAAAATACAAGGATAATTAAAAAAAGCAAAAACAAAAAAGACTCCAGGGGCGCCTGGGTGGCTCAGTGGGTTGAATGTCCAACTTGGGCTCAGGTCATGATCTCATAGTTCGTGAGTTCGAGCCTCATGTGGGGCTCTGTGCTGACAGCTCAGAGCCTGGAGCCTACTTCAGATTCTGTGTGTGTGTGTGTGTGTCACTCTCTCTCTCTGCCCCTCCCCTGCTCACACTCTGTCTCTCTCTCTCTCTCAAAAATAAATGAACATTAGCAAAAAAAACTCTTAAAAAAAAAAGACTCTGTAACCAGATTCCGAGAGGCCTAGGGTACCCAGTTTTGAGAATCTACTTGATTTAGCTTCCTGATTTCACAGATAAGGAATCTTAAGCTCAAAAAATCAAAAGAATTTGCCTAGTGAGTTAGAACTATAATTGGAACCCAGATTTTCCGAACTCCTAGCCCAGTGCTCTCTACACCACCTTCCTAAAAAAGCTAAGAGGCTCTGGCTTAGAGAGATCTTTTATGATTAGGTCCTTGGAAGGACAGCAGTAGGGGGCAGATCTCCACATCACCATATGGGATCCTTGGCCACAACAGATTAGGTCGTGGTTAGTTATTTTCATTTCAAAGCTAAATGTGCTGGAGGCTGATGCTTGGTGCCTTTGTTAAATTTCAGTGCTGAAGACTCAGGCTTAGGGGGTGGACTTATGTGAGTTGCTCTACCTCCTCCTATGCCTCAGTTTACCCAGCTATAAAATAGACTTGATCCTGTACTTCAAGGGTTTGTGGTGAGGATCACACAAGATGGTGTAGGTGCTTTGTAGATTATAAATCTTGATTCAAGCCCATTAACCATTCATTTATTCTACATTTACTGAAAGCCTTCTAGTATATTCCTGGCACTGGAAAGACAAGTAAACAGGATTGACATGGTCTCCACCCTCAGGGAAGTTGGAGTCTCCAGGAGGAAACAGAAATAAGTAGAGAATTAGAGGAGAAAGTTTGCCAATGGGATAATTAAGCTGTGGGAACATTTACTAATTTGGAATTGGGGAGAGAATAGGCTTCATGGAGGAAGTGTATACCAAGCTGTGTCCCGAAGGACAAAGAGGTGGTCAGTGTTACAAGTAGCTCAGGCTGCAGAAAAGAGTTGACCATTTGGGAAATTAGAATCCAGCATGACTGAAGGAGGCCCATGACCCCGGGCCTTAAGTGGCAGGCTAGGAGTTTGGAATCTATCCTGAGACCAGTGGGGAGCCACAGGAGGGTTTTATGCAGGTGATGGCTGGGTCTGGCTTGCTTTCAAGAACAATTACTCCAGCCAGCAATGTGTTGCATCCACTTCAGGAGCCTATCTGTGTCATTACCAGGTAGTCGGCAAGTAGATAAGGAACATGGGCCAGGGCTAGACGGTCCCGCGATCAGGCCTGTGTGGTTTGAAGGAAGGTACTGAACCTCTCCAAAGTTTCTGTCTGTGAACTGGAGTTTGCTCTGAGGATTAAAGGCATGCAATGCTCAATTCAGAGCGTACAATCGCTTCCTTTCCGTTCCCTTCCCTTTTGTACCATGAGCAAAACTGAGCTGCCTTTGTTCTTCACAGTAACCCTGTAAAGTATCTGTATCCCCATTTCACAGCTTGTCCCAGCCCGGAGCCGTTCGCGCCTGCGCGGCGGGCACTGAGGACGCCACGGGGGTAGCTTGGCAACCTGGTCGCCTAGCAACGGCGTGCGCTTCCGGGACCACGCGCTGAGGCAGGTGAGCCAGCGGCCGCCAAAGGGAACAGGGGGTCCCCAGACCCATCCAGTAGGGTTCACATTGGGCTCATGTCCTCTTATCTCAAGGTTCTCTCACCTGGCTGGACTCCCTAACCCATGCTCCTTAGAGGAGGGCAGGCCCCTGTCCCCAGCACCCATTGTTCCTTGCCGGGGGAGTCCAGAAATGGCCACGTTCCTTCCATCTAGGCCCCTTCCCCTCTTTCCCTGTGGTTTGGTACCCAGAATCAGAGTCTGGCTCATCTCTTTTACGGGAGTTGACCATTCCTACTGGAGTTAACTGTCACTGCGACTAATCGCAGTAACCACCACCACTATAATAGTAACCCCAGAGGACATATCCCGAGCCTGGTGTGCCAGGCCCACGAGTAGCAGTTCATATGACAACTCCAGTAGGGAGGGAGGGATGCTATTATCACCTCTCTTCTGCAGCTGTAGAAAGACACAGACAGAAGTAACTTGTCAAGGGCCACCTATGGCCTAAGTCTGGAGTCTATTCTTAACTACAGTTGAACCTTTGAACTACATAGGGGTTAGGAGTGCCAACGCTACCCTTTCCTCACAGTCAAAAACCCATGTATAACTTCTGACTCCCTCCTTAACTACTAGTATGCCCACTGTTGACCAGAAGCCTTAGCAATAACATAAACAGTCAATTAACATGTATGTTATGTTATATTTATTATATATTATATTCTTACAATAAAGGAAGCTGGAGGAAAGGAAATGTTATTAAGAAAAGCGTAAGGGGGGGTGCCTGGGTGGCTAATTCGGTTAAGCATCTGACTCTTGATTTCTGCTCAGGTCATGATCTCATAGTTCATGAGATTGAGCCTCATGTTGGGCTCTGCAGTGCGGAGCCTGCTTGGGATTCTCTCTCTCCCCCTCTCTCTTGCTCTCAAAGTAAATAAACATTTTTTAAAAAAGAAAAGCATAGGGGCACCTGGATAGCTCAGTCGGATGCTTTACCAATCTCAGCTCCGGTCATAATCTCACGGTTGGTGAGTTCCTGACCCGTTTTGGGCTCCACACTGACAATGAGGAGCCTGCTTGGAATTCTCTCTCTCTTCCCCTCTCTCTGCCTCTCCCCAACTTGTGTGCGCAGGTGCGTGCTCACTCTCTTTCAAAATAAATGAACTAAAAAAAAAAAAAGAAAGCATAAGGGAGGGAAAATACATTATTTATATAAAAAAGTATTTATGCAAAAGTGTATTATGTAAAAAAGTACTATATTATAAAAAATCCACGTGTAAGTGGACCCGTGAAGTACAAACCTGTGTTGTTCAGGGGTCAGCTGTACTAGCCACACTGCTTATAGTTGCTCAAATTATGTATGTGTGTAATAAAAATAAATCACACTTTAACCTTAATTCCTTTTTTGTGGATGTGTCAGGAGCATCTGGATATGGGTCCCTGATGGATGAATGAGGTAGACCTGGATTTGAACATTGGCTACTGGCCTTATCAGTTCCGTGACCTGAAGCAAACTCCCAACCTTAAGCCTCAACTACTTCCTTTGTAAAATTGGGATAACGCAAGTCCCCTCCTTCTGGAGTAGTTGAGTTAGATACTAGATATTGCTGGCAGAAGATAACTACTACACGTGGTGACCATATTAATGTTTGCTTTTTTGGTTTGTTTTGTGTCTTTGGTGCCTTTACAGGCCCCAGCCTATAAAGTACTGGTGGTTTCCTCTGTCATTATGGGTGGGAGAACCCTGGAGTTTGCAATGTGGGCTACTATTTACCTTTACTGTGACCTTGAGCAGATTCCTTCATTGTTCTCAGCCTCAGTTTGCTCATCTGTAAAGTGGAAGCAAAAATATCCCCCTGGCTGCCCTTACAGTTTTGAGAATCAAATGAGAAGTAGCTTCTAAATCACAGTAGTAGTAACAACAACTTTTTGGATTCTCTTAATCAGTGGTTTCTGCAGAGCTTTGTTTTGGAAGCTAGAGAGTTGCCCTCTGCAGGCGTGGAAAGATGGCCCATGCCCAGATCTCCATGTACCTGCCCCCTGACATCAACCCCACCCAGGCTGCCATTGCCTATGGCTGTCGGGCCCTGCCCAAGCTGAACGAGGAGCTGCAGTCAGAGGACCTGCTGACGAGGCAGAAAGCCCTCATGGCTCTGTGCGACCTTATGCACGACCCTGAGCATGTCTACGTGGCCATTGACACAGGTGAGAGTGTCACAGCCCAGGTAACCACGACTAGGATGGACGGACAGTGGCTCAAGGTGGGAGGTGCTGCGGCGACCTGGCCCCTTTTCCGCATCCCTCCTGGCTGGTCAGTCAGTCCTTGCCCAGACACCACTGGTGTCCTACCCAGAGCCACAAATCAGCCCCCTCTGCTATGGCTCAACCAGGTGGCCACAAATCCACCAAACGGTTCTGTTTATGTATCTAATTCACAAAGCTGTCACAAAAGATAGGCACACACCTTATGAAAACCACACGTATATCTGGGAGCTCTATGTCCCTTGTGTCCCACTCTTCTAATTCTCAAAATAAGACTTGAGGTGACTTTCATGGCATGGTCACACCTTTCTCAGATCAGGCACATGACGGATGAACTGCTTCTTCTCCCTCCAGCCATAGTGGAAGGGCTAGTTAATTCCAGCTTTGCCTGAGGTTCCTAGAACCAGGGCCCAGGACAGTGGGTGGAGCTTCAGTAATAAGGGTTGCTATTTAATAAGCCTGACCCTGGGCCGGCATCACCCCAGTGTAGAGCCTGTGTTATCTTAATCCTAATAGCACCTGCCTTGGGAGGGAAGATTAGAAAACTGACAGATAAAAATCAGAGACTCAGAGGAGGGGAATGAGGCTAGGGTTGCCAGATAAATAAATAAAGCAGGATTTTTATTTGTTCAACCTGGCATCTCTAGGTGTAACCTATTCACATGTAGGACTACTTTGGGCCTGGAATGAGAATTTGACCCCTCAGTCTCTCTAAAGGCAAAGGTCATTTTCTTAATCCTACAGTGGACTGTGAGAGGAGGCATTGGTGGGAAGCCTGCAGGGCTTTAGATAAAACGCCCCCCGCCCCCCACCGCCATGTGAGCCTTTGTAGCACACAGAGACCCCTTTGGTGACTCTGAAATATTTTGTAACTGACATGATTCCCTGAGGCCCGAAAGCAGCAGAGCCTCTGGTAGTCTCTTGCTGCCCAACGCTGGCTCACCTGTTGACTTCTAGGTTCATTGATTTCTGAGAATGGTAAATGTTCAAAGGTTTTTGTGCCTTGCAGGCTGCCTGGAGAGCCTGAAAGCTTTGCTGAAGGATAACAATGACATGGTGCGGATAAAGACCACTGAGGTGCTCTACATCGTGGCGACCCATAATGTGGGCAGGTGGGCAGCTGTCTCTGGAAACCAATGTCATGCTTTGGAGCCACATCACTCCCCTTGGGTGGCATGCCCTTGGATGACCTTAAGCACTCTGAATTTTGGTTTATCAGTTTGTGTGTATCTGGGGGAGGGAGGGGGTGCTTTCCCATATCAGTTCAGTTCACCCTCTTGACCCGGGATCACTAGGTTTACCTGGTATTGAAAACAGAACCAAGGGGCCCCTGGGTGGCTCAGTCAGTTAAGCATCTGACTCTTAATTTCGGCTCAGGTCATGATCTTGTGGTTGTGAGATTGAGCCCCACATCAGGCTCTCTGTGCTGGGTGTGAAGCCTGCTTAAGATTCTCTCTCCCTCTGCTGCTCCCCTGCTCGCTCCTGCGCTCTCTCAGAAAGAAAGAAAGAAAGAAAGAAAGAAAGAAAGAAAGAAAGAAAGAAAGAAAGAAAGAAAGAAAGAAAGAAAACAGACCTGAGAATCACAAGCAGCCCTCAAGCCCTGCCCAGGCACTGATGCCCAGTGTGCACATGTCCAAAAAGAAGGAATAGAAGGGCAGGGTGCTCAGTGTCTCCCGGCTTGTTTGATGTAAACAACAGATGGTCCTTTACAGAAGCTTGAGATCTTTTCAGCGGTGTCAGGGCATCTTACAAAACTCAAGGTTGCTCAGTCCTGCCTCTTCCCAAGCTCTCTGTGTCTCAGTGTCCTCATCTACAACTGCTCATTGGGGCAAGGAGTCAAATAAGGTAGTGCACATAAATTTTTCAGTGCAGCGACATCTGCCTCACATTGGCCTAGGTGGCCACCCTGTGCTCCTCTCTTTAGGGACTGCTGCCTCCTTCTCCCTGCAGATAGTCTCTGTGAACTCACGTACCCACTTGCTCAGGGCCATCCCCAGATGATGGTGGCCTCAGTCTCTCAGTTTCCCTGACCTCTGGGTTCTAATTTCAGGTCCCCAGAAGGAGATGTGATTAGCACGATCCATGAGCAGCCCTGGCCTGACAGGTCACCAAGAACAAATGGGGTGCATATGGGGAAGTGGTACCACAGTGAGAGCCCCAATTCATATGCTTTGCACTGAGAAGAGTGGATAGATAAGGGGGACAGAGGAGTGTATGTAGGAGGCAGGAGCCCTGGTTATCTGGGGACCCCAACCTTTCCTGTCATGATCTTGGAGTCTCACTGTGCTTATCTGAGATAGATCCAGGGAAAGTGCTTTAACATTTAGAGGCAAGGGGGGTGAAGCACCTCTCATTCTTCCTGCTCCTTTGTTCTCTTTCTGGACTGCCATGGACATTGGGTAGTAACCCCCAAAAAGGGCCGACAGATGCTGTGAGGACAGGTGCTTGGAACCTGGGCAAGTACAAGGAAACTGTGAGCATAGCGAGGGTGCCTATAGGTTTGTTTAGTGGCAGTTGGAGGTTGGGGAGTTTGTGTGGGATTCCTGGATATGGCCACATTAGTAGGGGTGGGGAAAGGGGACACACAGTGAAGAAACTGTCACTGATCAAGGACCTGCTATGGCCTGGCCCACATACTCCTTCAGTGTCCACTATCCCTCACACTGCCACCTCCAGGCATGGGGAGGAGAACCGAGTGACCAGGGTACAGGATTCTAACACACTGGCTCGCTCCACCACACCACAATGGACAGAGAATGCAAAGGGCCAAAGATAACCTAGGCCAGCTTGGGAAGTTTGCCTGAGTTCAGTGGTGATCTTATAACTTACAGCCAGTAGCTTGTGGAGCCCGTCAAGCTCTAAGTACCTGCTCATATTGAAACCCTTGTGCCTCTTGCACCCACACAAATAGCAACAGGAAGAGGAGATAAGGGTGGCAGCCCAAGGCTCGACATCCTGTCACCCTGAGGAGTTCATGTGACAGCCCACGAATGGGAGAGCCTCATGGGAGGACTAGCTCCCCCTGCCTGCCTCTTCCTTGCTTGCTGGTGAATGGGGCAGCTGCCTTCAGGGCAGACACAGCAGACTTGCGGAGCAGAAGTGATGTGGAGGGGTGACCAGGCACTGACTGAGGAGGGCAGGACACCTCATGATGGGTGGTCAGAAAAGGTCCCTGCAACCTGGGTATCCCGCTATGATTTTCTTGTCCCAGAACAACTCAGAACTCGCCACATGGTTAAGTCCTGGCCATCACAGCAGGAGCACAATCGGTTGGGCACTTCCTGTGTGCCAGACACTGGGCACAGGCCTCACACTGAGTTCTCACTTATTTCTGATCCCAGGCCTGAGAGAGGTGACCTCAGAAGCCCTCACCATATGCAGTTGGTTAATGAGAAGAAATCGTTACAAAGCCAGGAATTGAAGAAATTGTACATTCCCTTTAAACTGTTCATTAAAAAAATTTTTTTAATGTTTATTTATTTATTTTGAGAGAGAGCACGTGGGGGAAGGGCAGAGGGAGGGAGAGAGAGAGAGAGAGAGAGAGAGAATCCCAAGCAGAGATTCTCGATGTGGGGCTCAAGCCTACAAACTGTGACATCATGACCTGAGCCAAAATCAAGAGTCACACTCTTAACTGACTGAGCCACCCAGGCACCCCTAAACTGTTCGTTTTAACTCCAAACACAAATAATTAGGCATTCACCAACGCTGTGTGTCACCCAGGCCTCTTCTTGGGTGTGGGCCCACTGGTTGGTGTTTCCCGTCATCTCTTTTGCTTAAACCACACCTGTAACATCATCTAATTTGCAGCTTTGGTTTCTTTAAGATAGAGTGGAGAACTCAGACATTAATGGAGTAATCTGCATGTAAAAACCTTCTAGAATCTTTTATGATCATCTCACCTTTTTTTTTTTTTGAGACTCACTTTTGAGTCTTCCTGAAGCAATCAACTTTGTTTTCATAAGGAATTAAAAAAAAAAACCCACAAAACTCTTCTCACATCTAATTGGCTTACCTAATAGCTAATTAACTTACATAATTATAACAACAAACATAACAGGCACACATAGGTTTGGAGGCCAGCATCTGGCTGTTGGCAAGCTCACAATTCAGCTGGGAGAAAAGGAAGAGGCTTTGAGGGGCGGGGCTTGTGGAGCCTGGAGCTTCAGGGGGTGTGTGCCCTGGTGGGTGCAGCCCCGACTCAGGGTGGGTCAGTTGTGAGGCTCTGCTGCCTCATCATCCTCATTTTACAGGCTCACAAGAGTGAAAGGAAGGATCCAGGCGTACAAAGAGCAGTTGGAGTCCTAGCTAAGGAAGGGGCAGAACTGCATGATTCCAGTGCGTGGTTCTTTCCACTGCCACCCAAGCCACACTCCTGGCCTCTAGGGATTCTGTAATATATGGTCCACCTCTGGCCTTTTTCTTCTTTCAGGAAGCCAGAGGGACGTGGTCTGCACCAACCAGCACAGGCTCAGTCAGGCTCCAGGTGGGGTTGCGGGTGGGCAACTTCCCCCTGGTTCTTCCTGGATCCTCTCTGGGCATGGTCTTAATTATGTCTAAATCTGACTTCTCTTCACCAGAGAGGGCTTTTTAGAGCACGATGTCATCCTTGCCTTGTCCTACCTGCTGAACGACCCTCAGTCAGCCTGTCGGAAGAACCTGCACCTGGCGTTCAAGCATGTGGCTCAGCTACCTTCAGGTAGGCTCTCAGTGGGCACTCAGGTGGCCCCTTGGTCTCCACTCTAGGTCACTCATGTGCCCTGCTGCAGATCATGGTCTAAAGCACGTTTTTTAAAAAAAGTTATAATTTTATTAAGATACATCATACATATCAAAAAGGCACAAATCATACATGAAGGTTTTATTACATTGTACCAAGTGGACATGCCATGGAATCGCTACCCAGATTAAGAAATTTGTACATATCGCCACCACTCTGAAAACTTCCCACATGCCCCATACCAGTTTCTACCCCTCATCCAAAGGTAAACAGTATCTTCTATTCATAAGACCATAGATTAGTTTATGCCTTTTCTTAAACTTTACATCAGTGGAAACATATAGGCTGAAATATTTTGTTTCTAGCTTTCTTTTTGCTCAGTGTTTTATCTCTGAGATCCACGTATGGTTTTTGCTGATTTGCACTGGAGTATGGTATTCATGTTATATGAGTATATGATTCCAGTTTATTTATCCACTCTGTTGCTGACGGACATTTGAATCATGTCAAGTGTATGGATACCAAGAATAGAGTGTAAACATCCTCTTGTCTTTTGATGGATGCGTAGAGGCATTTCTTTTGAGACATACCTAAGAGTGGAATTGCTGGGGATAGGATAAGTTTATGTTCAGCTTTAGAAGGTACCACCAATGGTTTTCTAAAATAGTTACACCAATTTACACTCCCACTAGCAGTGTCTTAGAGTTCCACACGCTCTCTATCCTCACCCACACTTGATCTTTCCTGGCTCTTTATTTTAGCTATTTTTGTGGGTGGGTGTGTGGTAGTATCTCATTTTGGTTTTAATTTGTGTTTCCCTGATGATTATAGCCCTGTAAATGTCTTCCTTTGTGAAGTGCCATAGCATGTTTAAGGATTAAAGAAGGCCTGCCCCAAAGGCCACTCTACCCTCAGGCTCAAGGTCCCCTTCACCTGACTGTTTCTGCTAATTAGATGCAGAGTCCAGGGTGATGGCCACCCACCTGCTGCAGCTCGAGAGTTGAGATCTTGTGTCAGAATGACATTGCCTTGTCACATGGTGCAATGAACATTTTTAAATGGGGGGCTTATTCCAAGAGGCATGATATCAAGGTCTTCAAGGGGGTGCTTTAAAATTAAAGTTGGGCAAAAAGGCATTGCAGCCCAGGAGTGAGACAGCCCTAGGTTCCCTCTGCCCTCCCCCTCGTTCCTTGCATGCCCCTGGATGGATTATTTCCTCATCTCTAAAGTGAGGCTGATACTACCTGCCTCGGAGACCTGAAGTGAAGGCAAGTGAGAAGATGCTTGCCAAGCATGTAGTGTATCACCCTGCACAAAACACGCCATAAACATCAAGTCCACATGTGAGCGCTCTCTGAGTTGAGGTCCCAGAGAGAGATGACTATGGGATCATGTGCGGAGAGGTGGACAAAACAGAGCGAGCCCTTGGGGGCCTGGGATTGCTGCTCATCCGGGAGGCATGCCTTCTTCCAGCTGGGCTGGGCATGTGAGACCAGATGACAGAAGCTTCTGGTAGTTTTTTTGTTTTTTTAAAAGACCTGCTTATCCCTGGCCATATCCCAAGCCAACAGAATCTGTTTCTGGGAATGGGCACACATATCTTCTCAAATGCACCTTGGCTGATTCTCCCTGGAGGCCATGGTTGAGGGCCACTGGAATACTGGGATGTCTATGAAGCTCCAATGCTCAGAGCGGAACTAAGTAAATGCCCTGTGCTCACCATGGAGGAACTCTCCTTGAGGTGTGGAGCTCCCAGCCAGCCCTCTTACATGATTGTGACCTGTTTAAGCATTCAGAGAAATACAGAGACAATAATAAGAAACATTGAGTACCATCATGGCTTTGCTAAGTCTTAACCTTCTGCCATATTTCATATTTGCTTGATATTTTTGTTTTTAAAAAAAGTAATGACAGTCAAAGCACCCTGTGACGCTCCCCACCTCCCCACCCAGCACCCTTTCTCCTGCCCTCCCTGGAGCCACCAATAATTTCTGAGTATATTCCTAACGCATGGCTTTATAATTTACCATGAATGTAGTTATTTGGTGATCTTGCCTTGCATGTTTTAAAACTATGTAAATGGATCTTGCTGAATGTACACCCTTGCTACTTAGAGAACCTAATGTTATAATTTTGAGATTTATCCAGGTTCTGTCATGGGCTCTGTTTTCGTATTTTATCTGTGGCGTGCCCTTCTGGTGTTTGAACAGACGCTTACTCCTGCTCGGCTGATGCGGCGTGCTGGTTGTCTCTGATCCTGAGCATTCCCGCTCAGATTTTCCTGGAGTCCCTCCAAGGCCTCTGCTGGAGGAGAGCATCCTTGTGGGGGTGGGAGAATGCATGGCCTTCAGCTTGGCCAGATGCTGCAATTGCTTCCCAGCCCACCCTCCTCCAGCCGGAAGAGAGCCTGGTGCACATCCTCACCAGCAACCTGATGGTGTGCTGTGCTGTTTCACTGTTGTGTGGCTTTGCCATCCCCTGTGACTGGGAGAGGCGGCATCTTTCCTCTGCCTGGCGCCACTTGTGTCTCCTCTCCTGCCCAGTGCCTCCCCGGAGCCTGAGCACATTCTGTTGAGTTGTTTTTCCATTTCTTATTGATTTGAGGGAGTGTTTCATATATCCTGGATTCCAACCCTTTGTTGGCTACATACACTGCAAATACCATTTCCTGGGTTGTTTGAATGGCTTTTCACTGTTTATTTGCTTATTCATTGGCCCAGAAGTTTTTCGTGTGTGTGCATGTGTGTGTGCATGTTTGTGTTTGGTGCTGCTTAAGAACTCATGAAGATAGTCTGTCCTATTTTGTTCTAAAAGTGTAAGGGTTTTGCTTTTTACATTTAGCTGGTGAAGGTACGTGAATTGGATTTTTGTTTGTTTCTAGGTCTTCTTGTATAGCCCTTGCCGGTCCTACACTGTCTCGATTACAAAAGCTCTATGGTGATCTGTGTTCTGGTGGGAAGGGCCCCGCCCCATCTCCTTCCTGCAAAGTTGTTCTGGAATCACAATCACTGGGCCCACCACGAGGAGTAGGGGGGCTGTGGTTCTGACAAGTCTGACTGGGGGCCCCAGCGGTGAGCCTCGGCCTTCTGTCACAGGATCTCTTGGCTGCTACTCCTTGTCTCTGGCGTGTCTGGAAGGGAGGCCTGGGACACTCTGGTGAGGAATGTGCAGTCGTGGTGGGTGGGGGCAGCTGGAGGGAGAAAGGGAGACACACAGTGTGCCAAACACCGCAAGAGGTCTGCCTGGGGGAACTCAGCACGATGGCTTCTGGGTTAGACAGTATGGCTGTGTCCTAGGTGGTGTCCTCACTGGGCCACTGGGTGGGGTGAGTGGATCCACTTCAGTGGTCCCACTCTTAACCAGGGTGTGGCCTTGGGCAGTAACATAGCCTGTCAGAGCCTCAGCTTCATTACCGAGCACAGGAATATGTGTGCCTCTGTGGTCTGCTGGGATAGTCGGAACTCAGACGGCTCTCCTACTGGTGGTCATTGGTATGGGTTTTCTATCCACTGCCACACCAGAAGGCACCCTCTGCACCTGGCAGAGTGCCTGGCACTCAACAAATGTTGGCATTTAGGTTTTATGCCGTATTTTAAAGGATCATTTGTCAGTTATTCGCCGCAATTCACTTCCTCCCTTCCTTCATTAATTACATAGTTATGTGTTGGGCCCTTGCTCTGTTCCAGCCACTGTGTCTCACTTGCTTCGTCTGTAGTGTTGGGTATCTGTGGGGGGGAAGTAGGTCTTCCCTGAGTCCTTGGTGTCTGGCCAGATCTGGCCTAGTGTGTGGTTTCCCAGAGTAACCAGCAGGGGGTACCACAGGATCGATGACTGCCTGACAGAGCCTGGCTGTCAGGCCCCAGGGTGGTGCAAGTCAGGCACGGGAGAAACCAGGATTGGAGAGGCAAATACCACGCAGAAGCTTCCAGGCCACGTTCCCTGTCAGCCAGGCCCTAAGTGACCGCTGGGGATTCTGGGGGAATCTCTGTTCCCTTGTTTCTGCTAACCGCACACAGAAACAGGTCTCGTTTTGTGGCCAGGCGTTCTGTAGGAGAGAACTCTAATGCCGAAATTGAGGATTCTTCTGTAACTGGACTTTGGGATGCAGCTGAATAGTACCGCGGACCTGGAAGTGTCTCCCTACCAGCCCCACTGGCCATGACCCAGGCCCCTTGGGCCCTATGACAGTGGCCTGGAACCAGGGTGACTGGGTGTACCTGTGAGACTGGACTGAACTCTGAGCTGCTGGCCCAGCTGTGGCAGGACCACGGTGTGGGGACTGCTGTGTCCCCTACACACTGTTTGCAGCCTGGCTTGGCTGAAGCTGTGAGGGTTAAAACAGGTGTCCCTCCCTACCCAGAGGAGAGCACCATCTGGGGAGGGAGCTAGGGATGTGAGTCCTCTCCTATGGACACTGGCTCTTCAGCTTCAGAAAGGAGCAGGATGGGCCTGGGGAGGGACAGGGCATGCCAGGCACGAAGTTGGATGCTGTTTTGGTCTTGGCAGTTTTGAGGTGCAGGGGAACATCAGAGCTGAAGCCATGGGAATAGCAGAAGCCTAGGGATAGGGGGTGCTGGAGAAGCAAAACAGGATGTTCTCACCCTTCCACAGTGTGCCTCAGCCAGGCAGCCTTCTCTCCTTGAAGGCTGCCTCGGGAGGTGGCCCAGAGTAGCCTCCTGCTCCTCCTAGCCTTGACACCACAGAGTACAGGGATGGGGCTGGCTGCCGCAGGGGGGTGGGTCTTTCCTTTCTCACCTGCCTTTAGGATGGGATGCACCCGGCCCCAGGCACATCCTCAGCCTGACAGTCCTTGGTGGGCAGTTGCCTCCTTCCCAGACTTAGCAAAGGACGATGCCCACCAGTGGGGACACTGCCCACCTGGTTCCCAGCCTGGTGCACCTGCATGATGCCTCCCCTCCTCACCCTCTGCACACATTTGCCTGCTCCAGCCGGAAGAGTCTTTCCCTGTCTGGCCTAGT